GCATTGATATGCATATTCATAAAGTATGGCAACATTTGCTGTTATTACAAGTCGCACAAGCTCATTCTAACTGATGTGAGGGTAAAAAAGTAAAAGTGTCTGTGACGGACAGACAGACGGGCAGAGCGAGACAGGCAGAAAGAGAGACGGACAGGCAGCAGGGGAATCTCTGGAATTTTCCATTTTGCAGTTTGGCCCTCTAATGTTTCAATTACCGGACATAAACAGTCACGCATGGACACATGCAGTCATAGGAAGGCACTGGGGATCAGAATGGCATTGGACTGGAATAGACTGGAGAGCAACAAATAATGCTTCAAGTGTCTAAAATGACCCAGGCCATGTCTGCTATTACTAGGCCTTATATTCATGGTTTTTCAGAACACCATTCTGCAGAAATTGAAAGTGGTGTGGGGAACACTGGACCAAAACGTTGTGTCCATAAATTCACTGGACTGTTTCCTGGAGTTCCAGAGGGTTAAAGCTTCTGGATGGGGGTGAGATAGAATACTCCCACTGGAGGAGCCTCAAGGAGGTTAATGTGTGATCTAGGTCTTCATCAGACTGGAACACAGTTTCCATGTTCCATTTTCCTGTTCCATCGCCTTTCACTTCCAAGTTGCATTGTTATTGTTATGACTGCTAACATATTAACTATGGCAATGGATTGATGGAGCCTCAACATTAGCATGAAGCTAAATGTTCCAAACTCAACTGTTTTTTTACCGGCATTTAAAACAGAAATATTTACATGTGATTTCACGTAGGGGTTGTTTGTACTTATTTTTGATCAACTGTGATGTTTTGGTCCCACTAGCAAACAAGCTAAGCTAGAAATGTGCTAAGTGACGGTTTGGACCCAGAGTAAACAGAACACTTTAACAAACGGCTCCTTTTGGATTTTTTGGCTCGTCTTTCTTTAATATAAGAGCAACACACACACACACACACACACACACGTTTGTTAACCCAAATTCCCTTATTTCACAATATTTTTTTTCTTTGTGAAGTTATTTATCTTTAGGCGAGACTAAATCTGGCCTTGAGAATATATCTCATGCATTTAGGCATGTAAGCCTGTTCAGGACAATTTGATGAAGCATCAGAAGACCGAGCATCAGAATGGGGAAGAGAGGGGATTTAAGGGACTTTGAACGTGGCGTGGTTGTCGGTGCCCGACGGGCTGGGATTTTCACGCACAACCATCTCTAGGGTTTACAGAGAATATCCAAGGGAAAAGGGAAAATATCCAGAGAGCGGCAGTTGTGTGGACAAAAATGCCTTGTTAATGTGAGAGGTCAGAGGAGAATGGGCTGACTGGTTTGAGATGATAGAAAGGCAACAGTAACTCAAATAACCACTTGTTACAACCAAGGAATGCAGAACACCCTTTCTCAACGCACAACACGTCGAACCTTGAAGAAGATCAACATGAATCCATTCTGCCTTGAATCAATCGTTCAGGCTGGTGGTGGTGGTGGTGATGGTGTGGAGGATGTTTCGTTGGCACACTTTTGGCCCCTAGTTTAAAAGCCGCAGCCTCCTGAGTAGTGTTGCTGACCATGCCCATCCCTTTATGACCGCAGTGGATCATCTTCTGATGGCTACTTCCAGCAGGACAATGCACCATGCCAGAAAGCTCATTTCGGCTGAATTTTGCTTAGGATGGTTCCTAATGGAGTGAAATGACCTTCACGTAGTGGTCACCATGATAAGAGCTGTTTGAATTATCTAATTCTAAGGAAAGGAGCTGCAATGCTTCCCTACTTAGCTCCTTCCGCATTGGAACCACTGGACCATCCTTCATGAAAGGAACATTTAAGTATTGACCTATCAATCGGCCGTTCATATAACACTCATTACCGAGGAAGGCAGATGTAAGTAACTGTTAACTCATTTACATACAGCCGTGTTAATAAAATAATACTTTGAACTTGGTTGTTTATGTCGTCTGTATGACACAGAACTGTAACAACACATGGACGACCGCATCCAAGATGCGTCTTTGTAGTCCATCAAATCGCAGACTGACATCACTAACTCCCATTGCATCATAACTACGTAGCTCAGCAAAAGTGGATCTCAATCCAATAGAGCATCTTTCGGATGCGGTGGAACGGGAGATTAACATCATAGATGTGCAGCTGACAAATCAGCAGCAACAGTGTGATGCGGTCATGTCAATATGGACCAACAATTCTGATGAATGTTTCCAAAAAAGGGCAAAATGGGGTCGAAAGTTCTCCTAGAAAGGTGAACCTAATAAAGCGGCCGGTGAGTGCATATATAGTAGTGGAGTCAAAAGTTTGGACACACTTTGTCATTAAATTGACTGAGAAAGTGTATCCAAACAAATATTTATTTGGAAAAATAATACAAATTCCTTAAACAGCTGGTTGTAGTTTTTAACAAATGTTACTCAAACAGGAGGAAGTTTGTTGGGAACTAATTTCTGCAACGGAGTAAATAATCCCCACATGGAGTGTTTGTGGCAGCAGTACGGTGTTTGTGGGATTGATTGAGAATAAACTAAAAGATATGCGTTAATGGTAACGAAGGAACGCGTCACCCAGTTCTGAACAGTTTCAGCACACGGATGCAGCGCTCTGACAGAGAGGAGGAAGAGACGTGTTAACAGTGCTGGCTGAGCCCAACGTCCTCTTTGTGATTTAAAGGCAGAACGTTAACGTGGGGAATCAGCTCGCCCAGCACCAGGAACAGAGCCTTTTTCCTTCCACCCACTTCTACGTAAAGCTGTACTGCGGCTGACGGGTCACAAGTCAAGCTGCACACTAAACACAGACCCTGCAGGGGCTCAGTGTGGAACCTTTCCAATGCTAGAAAAAAAAAAAAATCACCCACAAACTGAACTGAGGGACGAATATATGGACAAGACTTAATTTTTGATGTGTTGTTTACGTAGTTGTAACATGGGGGGACATATCAACATAGATAGAATAGAATATTCAGAACTACAGTACAAACTTTTGACCTTTTTACTGTAGGGTTTCCTTTGTGTGTAATCTGACACTAAGAATCACTGTGTTTTCCCACGATAGCCCAGAAAGGACAAACCAAACACCGTATCTAGTGAGAGTCGCTCTTTTATACTGTGGGAAAGCATGAGGTGGACGCAGTCATCGCCACGTCAACTGTTGCTAACAGCGTTACCGGCCTTGCATCTGCCGTTTGGGATAGGGAAGAGTGAGCGGAGGGGGTGTTATATGTCGGTGTCCATCTGCAACCTCTGCGTTAGATGGCGGCAAACCTTTAATAGGAAGTTGCTGAGGTGAATTTGTTTATTGATCCTTCGAAGGGTTTTAAAATGGTAGACGTGATGCAAAACACTGTAGATCGGAACAGACCAAAATAAAATCGAGAGAGGGACCAGTGGCAGTAGCTCGATGACCCTTCGATAAAAGAAGCAATATCTTTAAGTTTCTACAGTTCACACTCTACATCTGCCTGAAACGAAATGATTGACTGGTGGTCACATATGAGAGAAGGAAAAACACATTGTTGGCTTTTGGTCCTTGTTGAGAATTTGAAACCCCACCCGCCTCGTCCTTTAATCATTTGAGCTTGTCAAACTAGCAAAGCAGCGCCACACAAAACCGCGCAGTGGAACTACTCCTTAGGGAGCAGAAAATGCAGAGTCAGAATTCCCTAATCCCATGTACATAAATTGCAGATGCACATTTTAATAAATGAGCAAAACCTGCAGCATTGATTACAATTTGGCAGTCAGTCCACCGAAGAATGCCGATGACCAAATGTGCACCGCCAGCTGCCAACACTGCACTAACTGTTATGACTTACAGAGGCGATAAATCCAGGCTACAGGGAACCGCAGCAGGGACGACAGGGAGGAGAGGGAGGACCACTCTGCTTCAACCACACAAGCACAATATCAACTCTGCTGCTCTTTGGCTCACGTATCGGAGGACTTCAGTAAGCATGCAGCCTCCTCTTATGCAATATGCAACACAGGTGGAGATGCGATGAGCCACCGCAGAGTGGTTTGAGTGCCTGAGAGGTCAGAGACAATAGGCGTTTTGGGACGTTCTGCTTTAATGGGATAATTGCTTTCACTATGTGCAGTATCTTAGAGGCTGTGCAACGACACCTCTGTCAGTAAATAGTGCAGCTAACAAGCAACAATATTGCTTCAAATATTTATTCAATTTAAGAAATCTCAATTGCCGGGTGATGATGTTGAGTTAGGCAATGTGTATCATTTAGACATAAGAAATACTGCATTAGATACGTATTATAAACAGCTGTGGTTAAAGCATCTATGGGGGCGATGAGGGGGGGCTTCTGAGCCACCGCAAACCCCAAACATAAGCACATCCGATACTGCTCGTGACACGGACAAAGTGAACGAAAGAACACAGACACCACAACACACACGCGCGTCTCCCCATCGCGGCGCATTACCCGCCGATATCTCCTCCAACACGCGCATCCCGCCCCGTCCGCTCCTCGGGAGGAAACTCTGTGCATAATGCTGCGAATTACAATTCATTATGTACACGAGTGGATGCCTCTTTGTCGGAAAACATTTCTGTCTGCGCATGCATGTGCGACTAAATCTGGTTTTACAAGACGTGCACCTGCTATTACAGGCGCACCGCCTCCGGCGTGAAGAGCGCAGCGACGATCAAGTTATAAAACAAATTGAACTAAAAATGGTTATTTTCAGAGACCGTCTCTGTGGGCCGGTAAGACATCGCTCGGGTTGTTTCGGAGTCGATGTCCAGTATTAACCCGAGAGCTGCGTAGATTTGCTGGTAATCGATGGAACCTTTAATTGACGGGATCTGGCGCGGCGCGCTGCCCATGCGAGAAGAACCGCACGTAACACCGTCTGACCCGGTGCCGGTTCTGATCAGTAACACGGCGATCGCTGATGCAATAACGATTAAAAGGTTAAAGACACGGATGGCAGCGAATAAGGACGGAGCAGTGACGGGTGTGCGGAGGCGTCTCGGTCTTACCTGGTTACCAGCGCGCAGCGAACACGAGCCCGCGGCTTGTTGGGTGTTTTTCTTCCTTTTGCGGCTTTGCTCGGACCGAGAAGACTGACGCCGGACCGGCGGTCTGCACCCGCGCGCGGGTCTCAAGAAGAGGAGTCTACGACCGGCGGCCGGAGGCGTAGTGTCGGTAAAGCCTCCTCGCAGCAGCAGAGCGTTTCCTGGCCACTCGCTCGGTGTGGACCGGTAGGTAGTGATGGTGGGAACAGACCGCTGCTAATAAGTACTGCTAGTAAACAGAGCGGGGACGCTTGCTCTCGCGAGAACGCGCGACTCCTGTGAGGCAGCGAGGAGTCGCCAAATCGCGTCAAGCCGCGGGGTGTGACAGCCACTGTCTGTGGAGGACGGAAAATATGGAGGACTGAAGTAGAAGTAATAAATAAGTCAATGCGTGAATAAATGGATGAATACATACAGGAATAAATGCTTAAATAAATGTATGCATAAATACAAATAATAAATACAGAAATCAATACATATACAGTAAGTTTATACCTAAACAAGACAGCATTAGTTATTTATTTAAACTGAATTAATTTTCTGTCCTCCATTACTGTTATCCACTGATTGTGATAAATTAGGACACATTGTGTGGATTAGGTAAGATGCATATGAATACTGGCATAAGACTCATCTTAAATACTATATATAAGTGATAATAAATACTGTATGGTGTTTTATGTGCAGTTTTAAAAAGCAAATGCATTAACACTGCCACCACGATTACCCCCCTATCTCACAGATTTTTCAGATTAACTCAATCGTTGCTATCATTATGTGCAGATTATTAAACCAGCACAACCATGTAAGTTATGTGAATGTGTGAGTGTGGCTCTGTGGCTCTTTTTCCACTATAGAACCGTCTATTCTTTGATATGTTCACTGCATATGATTGGAAACTCTTAGAAAGTGTTATTTCATAGGTGTGGGTCTGACCGGGTTAAGGTCCATTCAGATATTGTTTCCGTTTCCAAGAACTGCTTTTGTTACTTTCTCCTGGTATTATCACTGCCCCCATTCAAAGCACTACTATCTTGGTCTTGTTTGGCCACAATATGTTGTTCATATGGTATCACATAAAAAAGAAATATTAATGTACACCCTCCACTGGGGTTTTAATGTAATGTCCAAGTAAGTGACTTATATGTGTGGAATCCCTTAACTTCCCCTTTCTGAGCACTGCCTTTTCCTTATGATAGACTATTAATCCCCTTATTGAATCCAAAAACTCTATATCCTACATTTCCCACAATAAAAGTCAACAGAATCTTTTTAGAGCTTCCCCCTGCATAATACCCATGTAAAACAACTGTTGGCTTTTATTGGCACTGATGACCTCAACTGTTCTGCAAACCCCACAGGCGTTTAGGCAAGGAAGTCATCCTCAATATTATGGAAATCTTTTGTGTCTCTGTTTTCAGTTAGCCTCAAATAGTAGAAAATTACAAGAAACACACAAAATAACACAGGGAAGCCAAATGCCACTAGTTGCATATCAAATAAAGTGGAGAGCATTCATTTAAATTGTGCTGGAGAGTTCAAAGACTTACAAAACCAGTCATACATTTAGCAGTTCGAATGAATTCCATCCATCCATCCATTGTCAAACCGCTTATGCTGCACACAGGGTCGCGGGGGGGCTGGAGTCCATCCCAGCCAACTTCGGGCGATAGACAGGGTACATCCTGGATTGGTCGCCAGCCAATCACAGGGCTACACAGAGACATACAACCATTCACACTCACATTCACACATCTGCGGGCAATTTAAAGTCCCCAATTAACCTGATCCCCAGAGCATGTCTTTGGACTGTGGGAGGAAGCCGGAGAACCCGGAGAGAACCCACGCAGACACAGGGAGAACATGCAGATTCCACACAGAAAGGCCACTGGGCGGAATCGAACCCAGGACCTTCTTGCTGTGAGGCAACAGTGCTAACCACCACGCCGCCAGTTTGAATGAATTGTAATTCTTAAATCTGCACTCATTTAAATCCCCCTTTAGATGCCAGGTTTTATTTATTTCCCCTTTAAGTAGCATCATGATTGGAAAAATGATTCTATTCTAAAAAGCCCAAAAGCGATCATATCATGACTATGTAAAAGTTAAAGCAGGTGTAGGTCCTGAGCGTTTGTAGGAAGCTGCACTAAAGGTTTCTGAGAAAAAAAAGTTTAACAAACAAGTGACACATTGTACAAATGCAGCATATTGGATGATGGTTGAATCGGGGGTTACGAGAAAGAGGCCATGCCCTATGGACCCATTCATGCAGAAGATTGCAAGAACATCTGAGTTCTTAAATCAAAAATGTTTAGCTTGATTGACCAGCGAGCAACTTTTATAGGAATTAATTTAAATATCCATGATTCAATGTCAGAGGACACGCAGCCTAATAAGTATTATTTGAGAGTTGTGCTTCTACCCATGTGTTGAATGTTGGTCCAACATTCACTCTCCTTTCAGCTCTAGGTTTAGATGAGCATAGAGCAAACAAAGTTGGTGAACTTGATATCGTGTATAGTTTTATTCTTTTAAAGAACTTCATTGAACAACATCCCAATGGAAAAATGTCTTTCTCACCTCAGCCATTATCGAAACATGAACAACACAAGTCTGAATTCAACGCTGATTAGTCGTAGGTGTGTTAATCAATGGATGTGTCGCTCACATGGTGTCGGCAGGCTCGTAGTTACCGGAGCAAAAGTCAGGGCTTTCTAAAGAACCCCAAGAGGCTTACAAAAATGAGAGAATTTGAGAATTTATTAACTGTTGTGCATGGTGGGGTATACAACAGCGCGCCTATGATGTGTGAGTAAGTGCACGTGCATTGGCGCATGCAATCCCAGTGATGTAGTCCAACTACTCCCAGTGTAACGGTTGGTGTGGACCCAAATGCTCTACACACGACTCCAGGGATCTTTGACCTTTTATTTAAGCTCCGGAACAGCCGGAGGAATAAGGATAGGACGAAGGGCCGGTAGGTTCACCGGGAGTCGGGCTAGCGGGTTAAACAAGGTCGGCAACAGGAGATCCGTCGGAAAACAAGTGCTGGAGAGTCGGGCGTGAAGCGTAAGAACAATCTGGCAAAGAGTGTGTGTGAGGCAGGAGACTGACGAGGGATGTGAGTAGTGATCAGAGGCAGGTGTGTGGACAGGTGAAGGGCGTTAGACTGACGAGGTGGGAGTGACAGGAGAATAGAGATAGTGGAGCTGAACTGCGTGACACCAGAGCTGTGGTGATGGCTTGGTGCCCTCCTTGTTGGCTTGAGATAGCGGTTCGCTCTGCAGCAGTCACCAACTAGCCCTACAAGTACATTAACTATGTGCCCGGGCTTCCAGAAACCAACACGCGCAGTCATCTGGACTCATTATTAACATGAATACAATGAGTTCAGCTTTGAAGTTCAAACTGGAATATACCCTTTAAATATTCTTCATCTTGATGTCAATGCCTGACATAATATCTTGCAAACGTATGGTGTCTCAGTTCTTGTAGTCTTGTAAACGAGAGGCAGATGCCCACATAACAATATTGCCTTCATATTTGAGCATCAAGGAGTCTGGCTGTTCTCCCCTTTGCCTTTAACAAGATTGGTGTATTGCAGCATTCTCTGGACAGAAGGAGGGAAGAGGAGAGTTGAGAGGGAGTGAAAAGAGAGGACAGAAGGAAAGGGAAGAAGAGGAGGAATGAGACATGGAGGAGAGGAAGAACTGCAGTAGAGAGAGAGAGAGAGATTCTAATCAATTTAAGTGCCTCAAATCTGACCTGTCCCACCTCTCTTCTCTCTGCAGGGTACATTAATCCCCCCCCCCTCTCCTCACACACACACACACACACACACACACACACACACACCATACTGTCATACTGTTGCAGGGGATCTATTACAAGAGTAAAATAGGACAAAGTCTTGTATCACCTTCACAATTTGACTCGAAGAGACGATTGTTCTCCTACTTTATAATGACTTGCATTCTTTCCCTTGGTTTTCTCTTTCTTAATTTCCCTGATTTGTTCTTAATTGGTATGTTGCATGCACATGTTGATCTTATGATATTGGACTCTAATTATTTACCATAGTACTAGAAAAAGAAGCAATTTTTAAAAATGATTCATACTCAGCACAACGACTATATAATAAGTCATGATTGTCAGGAGGCATGAGAACATTTTTGCCTGTGATTTATTATGGTGACATATTGTATATGCAATCAGCCTCTTCCATTTAATGGAGCCATTGTGCATCTCTTCTCACTACAAACGTCTGTTACAGATTTATGATTTAATGGGTTGGACTTTATTGACAGCATTGGTAATTTTTGTGATATACGGTAAACTACCTCGACACCTTTTGTGTCTACCCCCTCCAAGTGGTTGCTTTTTTAATTTACGCCGGTTGAAAATTGTGGGCACGGCACTCTCTGTGCCCACAATATTTTGGATTAAAAATGTTCCTGTACTTCAGTGGCTTTTGTTTGTTTCTCTATAAAGTCAACAGTGTTAGAGCAATTTTTCTGTTTTATTGTCAAGTTTTTAATGTCATGTTGTATACATTTCGACATGTGCATCTACATTAATCTTTTTTATCTCAACAGGACTTGCTGGTAAGATAAAGGGCAAATAAATAAGATTGATCCTTCCATATATTTATTTTTATACATAGGTCTTAAAACATTAGAAACATTTTCCAGTATTATACAACACTGACTTTATTTTTCAGAAAAAAACTAAATGCAGCACAGAGTGATTTAGACGTGACATCTGCCAATGAGTTATTACTCTTGACTAAATTAATTGCCACATACATTCAACCCTGGGAAGAAGCCAATGACAAGTGAACATAATTTGGAAATGAAAAACTTTGAAAAGAGCATGAAAAGAGCTTGATTTGGTGGTTGCCCAGTGGACATGACTTATGATTTCCCTGACCAGCTGCTCTGCTCTGATTAAGGCTGTGTGTGAACTGGAGCCAGCAGTAGGAAGATTTGACATTGTGAACACACACATATGAATTTGCTGGTTCCTCCTGACCAAGTAATTTCTTCTTCTTCTTCTACCCTCTTTCCCCCCTCTCGTTCTCTCCATTACGGTGTATGTCTCAGCATAATGGCAAACAGCTCTCAGAGAATTAAGAACGAGTCATTGTAGCGCCACTGGTTGTATATAACATAATCAATATGGTCTGCCTTAAAAGTGCAGACACTGTTCACTGTCGTCCACTCTGCTACACGCA